TCAGGCACAGTGAGGGCCCGATACTGCTGGCTTCCACGGCTGGTTAGAGGGGCGAAGCCAGGCATGAAGAAGTGCAGGCGTGGGAAGGGCACCATGTTGACTGCCAGCTTTCGGAGGTCAGCATTGAGCTGGCCTGGGAAGCGGAGGCAGGTGGTGACCCCGCTCATGGTGGCTGAGACAAGGTGGTTCAGGTCCCCATAGGTTGGCGTGGTCAGCTTGAGGGTGCGGAAGCAGATGTCATAAAGGGCCTCGTTATCGATGCAGTAGGTCTCATCAGTATTCTCTACCAACTGATGGACAGAGAGGGTGGCGTTGTAGGGCTCAACCACAGTGTCAGACACTTTGGGTGAAGGTACCACACTGAAGGTGTTCATGATGCGGTCAGGATACTCTTCACGGATCTTGCTGATGAGCAAGGTGCCCATTCCAGAGCCTGTGCCCCCGCCCAGCGAATGGGTCAACTGGAACCCCTGCAGGCAGTCACAGCTCTCAGCCTCCTTCCGCACCACGTCCAGGACTGAGTCAACGAGCTCAGCCCCCTCTGTATAGTGGCCCTTGGCCCAGTTGTTGCCTGCCCCAGACTGACCTGGAATGGGATCAGGAGGCAAGCTTGATGAGTAAAGTGTGGTTCATACACACAGTTCCACCTTTCAACTCTTGAGATAATGCCTGTGGACCCCTTTCTTTTCCTAGGCTCACCTGTGACATATCCTTCCTCCCCCCAATAGTTTACCATGTAAGGCAGTGACTCTCCCACCACCCTCAATTAGAGATTTCAGAACATGACCCTATAAAAGCTCTCCAGTGCAATAATCACTTCCTAACTCTTCCTGTCCTCTTACACCCACATAAATTGAATATGATGGTACTACAAATATCTGTATAACTTACCAAAAACAAAGTTGTCTGGTCTGAAGATCTGGCCAAAAGGACCTGAGCGAACAGAGTCCATGGTACCTGGTTCTAGATCCACCAAGATAGCACGAGGTACATATTTTCCACCTACAGGGAAGAAAAGTAGGAGTGAAAATTGGCAGAAGGTAGCCCAGCCAGTATGGCTCAGTGGTTGAGCATCAACCTATGCACCAAGAGGTCACTGGTTCCATTCATGGTCAGGGCACATTGCCCAGGTTGCAGGCTCGATCCCCAGTGGGGTATGTGCTGAAGGCAGCCTATCTATGTTGATGCTTCTCTCTCATTGATGTTTCTATCTCTCTCTCCCTTCCTCTCTCTCTAAAAAGAAAATAAGAATATTTTTTAAATACTTGTGATTCCAGGTGCTGCTACTAGGTGGCAGCAGAGCTAGTCTTTGACCCCAGTGGTGAGGAATTCAACAGAGGAAGGTTTCCAAAGGGGAAGGATGGGTTCACTCCAAGGGAATAAGAGGTTCTCTAGGAATGGAAAGAGACACCAGAAGTTGGAAAGGAAATGAGACATGATATTCCCCGGCTCCTTCCCTTACCTGTGGCTTCATTGTAATACACGGAGATGCGATCCAGCTGCAGGTCGCTGTCTCCGTGGTATGTGCCCGTGGGGTCGATGCCGTGTTCGTCACTGATCACCTCCCAGAACTGTCGGAAAAGAACGATGAAACCTTGACTGCGCAGGTCACAGTCAATTATGCCCCTGCCTCCAACACTTGAACTTCAGGCATGCCGTGTTGCCATCCCCTCCACTTTCCTGCCACGCCCCTCCCCGAAACACCTCCACCCGGGAGAGCCGGCTCGGGATGTGAAATGATGTCCAGCTGGGAGGACCCGGCGATCGCAGACACCGGTGGGGTGGATGGAGGCGGCCGACCTGACCCGTAAGCTCATCGCTCGTCCCCCACGCAGGGCACCGCCCCTCCACGTCGCAGAAACCAACTGTTGTAGTCGCCCAGCCCCAGCCCTCCATGCGGCTGTAGCGCTAAGCGCTGACAAAAGGAGGCGTCGCGCTTGGGCGGGGCCGAGGCGCGAATTCAGCGCGCGAGGGGCGGGGTCTGGCTAGAGCTAGCGCGCCCCCTAGCGACCGGCAGGACCACACAGTGCCCGCCCCGCGGGGCCCTGCCCTGCTGCTACAACGTAGCGGCCACACTTCCTCCCCAGCTACACAGTAGCCGCGCTCAAAAAAAAGAAATACTACCTTGACCTCGGAATTTTATCCCTTGGCTACCTAACCCCTCCTCTTGCTTTAAATGAGGATTCTCTTCCTTTCTCCCACCATTTAGTCCCGAAGTACCCTTTAAAGGACACCCCTTTTTTCCTTTCTGTTCAAGTCCTAAAAGGGTCTCGTTAAAGGGAAATAAAGGGAGCAAAGTGAATCCAGCTCAGATTAGCCTTTCATCCACGAAAAACTGCCCACTCCTCGGGAATCACGGGGGCGCGCGGAGACCCCGGTCTTTTGTGGAGGTAACGCGCAGTGCAGCCCACCCTGGCGCGCGCTTCCCCAGCTTGGGACCGGGCTCTGCAGCTGTGCCCCCGGCCTCGCCCCTGCCCCCTCGGGCTTGGCCTACGAAACCCCGCCAAGGGGGATGCACATGGAGGAACCTCGGCTCGCTTTGTCTCGGCCGGTTTCCGCATCTCCCTTCCCTCCCCAGCCAAGGACCGTTAGGAGATCCCCTACAAGTAAAACCTTACAGAACCTCGATCTTTCCGCCCCCCAACCCTCAAGGGTGTTTTTGATAGCTTCCCCAAAATGACTCTGCCAAGAAAAATAATTCCCCATTTTTCCAAAAGCAAATTCTACCTACAAACGCGTATTATACATATGAAAGTTCTTTTTGGCAAAGGTTGGCTAAGGCTGGAGACTGCAAACAGCCCAAAACCAACTAATTCTTCATAGTCTATCTGGATCCTTCTCTACTCAAAAAGAAATATAGTTAAAAGAGGTTTAAAATCCTTACCTTGGCACCGATTTGGTTGCCACATTGGCCCGCCTGGATGTGCACGATTTCCCTCATGGTTCAAATTAAAATTTTTTGCTCGCCTCAAAGTGTGTATGGGGCAAGAAAATGTGTAATTCTTTTTCTCTGCTGCTGCTCACAGGCTGGTAGAATGGGACGTGCCCCGGAGGCTGGAGCAGCGAGGTCCGAACGCGGCGGCAGGAAGGTTCTGAGAGGGAGAAAGGAGAGGGCAGGGCGCGGGAGGGTAGGCGGACAGGGCGGGGCGCGCGTGCGCCGGCCGGGAGGCGGGAGAAGGGCCCGCGCGGCGCTCGGAGACAAAGCCTCCGCGAGGCTGGCCCTGATTAGTCGACGTTGGTCAGTAGTCGACGTCCATTGGTCTCTGCTTGGTGAACGAGCGCGGTCCTCTCTGGGAGTTGTAGTCCTCCATTGTTGTCCACGCTGCAAAAATGAAGGAGCGAATGGGTGGCTACTGGGTTTGCGTTTTTTTTCCGTTTTATGAAAAATGACCTTGCGCAAGATGACTTTCCTCTAGGCCTGAGTTTTTTATGCAAAAAGGGAGTCGTTTTCGGGGCTGCAGGAATTGGGAACTAGAGGGTGCCAGGCGTTTGATGGTAGGGTGGCCACGCCCTGAAAGCTCCCGGCTGTGGTAGCTCTTGGGAAGACCGGACCGCTTAGCTCAGCGAAAACGGGAGAACCCAGAGACCCTATCTGCTATCTAACAACTGGCCCTTTGGTGACCGAAGGAGACATGAACAGGAATCCACTGCTCCCCCACATACCTCAGGAAGAAGGAGGGAATTGCCCTCCTGCTATTTCCTTGGGAGTTTTCTAACGATAATGTTTAGAAAGAGAAACAAAATTGCAGCAACGGCTTTGGAAGATAGAGATGTAATTGTCTGGAGGGTATGTGTAAAGAATAAACGGAATGGTTTAAGGGAAGCTGGTATCTGGGATTTGTGAAGCCAGAAGTTTCCGTCCATGTAGGACGTCAGGGCTTTAGAGAGCAGCGTTCAAGGCTGGTTTTGTCAAACACAAAGCTACGGGGTGAGGGTTTCATTGTCTTTCCGACCTGCCTTTAGACACTTTGAAGTCAGTGGTTTTTTCAATTCGCTGATTTCACTGACAAGGTGGCTGGCAACTGCAACCTTTCAAGAGCCTCGGGATTTACATTTTAAAATGGGGTGGGGGTATTCATCGGAGAAAATTGGATGGACTCAAATCAAAGTGGCATGCTTTTTCTCCAGGATTAACTCACTTGACAGATACTGAGTGTCCCCCAAACCAGGAGCTAGAGATACAAAAAATGATTATGAATTAGCTCCCTGGCCTCCAGGACCTTGCAATTGGGTGAAAAGTGTATAAACAATAGAGTGTGCTCCATTAAGCACCACAATAGAGGACGTGTGATATCTAGGACATCATTGTTAGTTCACGTAGGAGTTAATACACATCTCTGTCATCTTATAAATAAAAGAAGATCAAGTTGTAAGAAGACCCTCTACTCACTTAAAACAGATTTTTAAAAAATGTTTTAGGGCATAATCACAATGAGTTATTTTGTGGCAGAGAGTTTAGGATTCAGAATGAAAGGACTTGTTTCCATTAGTCTCTACCTTACATTAGCTGTAGAAACCTAGTCAATTCCCTCTGTAAAATCTACTTCTCCCTTTTTTATTGTGGGTCAGAATGAAGTTGAGATGGCGAATGAAAAAGGACCTTTCTACATTATACACATGTCAAATTGGGTTACTATCCTCTTCCTGTCTTAGTATGAGATAATGAAATAAATAAATGATTTTTTCCTTTCTTCACCCCTTGAAAGACCTTGGTCAGCCTTAAGATGGTTAGCAATAAGCGATTCTCTCTGTTGGCCTGGAGATCTTTGCTCTAAGTAATGATCTCAAAATGTCCATCAGGAAGAGAAACATCTGTAACAAAAATTAATCAATAAAAAAAAAAGAAAAGAAAAGAAAAAGTCCATCAGGGCTGTATTTTCAGGGAGGAAATGACATGGCTACTAAACAAGCATATCAAAAGGCAGTGAACTTCCATTGCAGTGAGGAGTCCTCAAGCGCCACGCCTGCGGGCTGTTCTCCAAACTGCAGCCTCCGGCCACGACAGCAACCCGCTATCCACTTTCATTTCCATGAGTCAGCAGCCACCATGTCTGGGAAGACCTAGGAAGGGCGCTCTGGCCGCACCAGAAGCTTCGGAGGACGACTATGGTAAGCCCCTCTAGGCGCCGCCGGCAAGGAGACTCTGTGATCGCGGTTTGGATATCTGCGCGGGAAGTGGGCGGTGGGCGGTGGATAGTGAAGCGGTCTAGGGTGAGTCCTTGTAAGTGCCCAATCGAAGTGCGCTATTCTGGGCGCGCACGCCGGCCTCCGCCTCTCAGCGGGTCTCCGGCAGCCGCAGAGCGGCCACTTTGAGCTGTAGGGGGCGGGGCGGGGCGGGGCGGGGGCGGGACGTTGGCTGTGCCTCCGCGTTGCAGGCTTCGTCAATCGGCTTGCCGCAGGGCTGTGAAAGACAGCGGCTGGAACCAATCAGCGAGTCGGTCTGGTCCCGGCCGCAGCGCTCGCGCATCCGGGTCGCGGCCGTTACTGGTGGCGCGCGCGGGGGCTCAGAGTAGGTGAGTTCTGGGGGCCGCGCCCGCCGCTGCCGGGTGCCATCTTGTTTCTCCGGAGGGCGTGAGGGGCGTGCCTTGGATGCGACTGGGCGGAGGATACGTCGAAGTTGCTTCTCGGATTACAATCCTCACCCTTCCTTGACGCCCCGCCCCGAGCTTAGGTATGACGGTACTGGGAGACCGTTGGGCCCGGAGGGGCCCGCCGGGTTGGGGGGCGAAGGTGGTGGCCTGTTGGATTGGAGCCAAGGGTCCTGGCTCTGCACTGGAGGTGCCCTGCTCTCCCAGTCAACGGTTTCTCCTAGGGCGGCATCTTTCTAAGTGAATTCCACTCACGCTATTTTAAGTTTTTATCTGTTTTCATTGGTTCTTTCATCAGTAGACTCGGTGATGTAACTTCCAGGAGGGCAGGGTTGATTTTCTTTTTGGATAAAGAATGTGTTAGTAATACTTCGAACGATGCCAGGTGCCTGCTAACTACTGTTGAGCGAACATGATGGGCCGCAGAGGAAAAGTTCTCAGGGTGTGTGTGAAGGCAGAAGTGGTGGCGATTCGGCGAGAAGTGTCGGGATAGGTACTAGTCCACTGACCACGGTGAAACCCGTGAATACATCGGGAACAGCAGAAAGCGGGGGGACTCCAGGAAAGACTTTGCTGAGGAAGTGACATTTGAACTGAATCTGAAAGGATGGGTAGGAGTTGAACCAGAAAACTAGGAGCCAGGGTCAAGGAGCCGGCCTAAGCCATGCAGATGTGGGGACAATGAGGACAGGTTCAGAGATTGGGGAGAAGGTCCATGTGGCTTTGGGGGCTGGCAAGGAATACATGCAGGACACAAGGTTCAGATCATGTTGGTTCTTGCTAAGGAGTTTAAGTTTTATTTTATCCTGTGGGTGTGGAAAGCCATCAAAGAATATTAAACAGAGGAGAGACATTATCTGGGTGATCTTGGGCAAGTTCGTTAACCCATCTGTGTTGTAGTTTTTTGTTTTTGTTTTTAACTTCTACATATTGATTTGAGAGAGAGGACAGAGAAACATTGATTTGTTGTTCCACTTATTTATGCATTCATTGGTTGATTCTGAATGCAATCTCTGGTGCCCTGACCAGAGATTGAACCTGCAACCTTGGTATACTGGGACAACACTCTAACTGATTGAGCTACCCAGCCAGGGCTGTGTTGCAGTTTCTTTATCAAAGAAATAGAACATAATAAATAATATTTTACAAGGTTCTTTAGACAATTAAATGACTCACATTAGTCTGATCACCTGAGGTGGTCTGGTAAAGTGTAAAAAGCATGCGCTTTGCAGCCAGAAGCACATTTATTCCTATCCTTTACACTTGCCTTCTGTTATCTTGAGCAAATAATTTAATATTTTTAGCCTTAGTTTCCTAAACGCTTCTCTCCTATGGCTACTATACCAGACACACAACACAATGCCCAACAAGTTGATGCTTGGCAAAAGTTAGATCCCTTTAAAATGGTGTTTCTAGCCCGGTTGGTGTGGCTCAGTGGATTGAGCATCATCCCATGGACTGAGAGGTCCTGGTTCCATTCCCAGACAGGGCACATGCCTGGGCTGCAGGCTCGATCCCCAGTAGGGGGCATGCAGGAGGCAGCCAATCAATGTTTCTTTCTCACATCGATATTTCTCTCTAAAAAATAAATAAATAAATGAAACCATTTTTATAATAAAGGGTTGAATATCTCGTGTAATTTATTATGTATACCACTTTTACATATTGTAAAGTAAAAAAAAATCATAGCTTGGAGAACATCTGCATATACAAATACACACACTTATTTAGCCCTGGCCAGTTTGGCTCAGCGGTTAGAGCGTCGGCCTGCCGTTCAGAGAGACCTGGGTTCTGTTCCCGCTAAGGGCATGTACCTCGGTTGCGGTGTGTCCCCGGCCTTGGTTGTGTCGTGTGGGTGGCAGCCACTCAATGTGTCCCTTTCCCGTCGATGTTTCTCTCTCTCTCTCTCCCTTCCATCTCTGAACAAAAAATGGAAAAATGTCCCCAGGTTAGCATAAAAAAAACAACAGGACTTCCGGTCAAGATGGCGGCATAGGTAAACGCGGTATCACGTCCTCCCACAACCAATCAAAGTTACAACTCAACTACACTACAGAACAACCGTCATTCAAAACTGCCTGAAATCAAGCTGAATGGAAGTCCTACAATTACGGAATTAAAGCAGCAGCCACATCCAGACTGGTAGGAGGGGTGGACATGCGACAAGCTGGTCCCACACCCACGCGTGGCGGATAAAAATCAGGAGGATACCTCGGCTGGGAAGGTCCTTCCTGAGGACTGAGGGGGTCCCCGTCCCACACCAGGTGCCCCGCTCAGGGTTCCAGTGCCAGGAAGAGAATCCCCATCACTTCTGGCTGGAAAACCAGCGGGAACTGAGGCTCAGGGAGGCTGAGGCGGCTGGAGCCCCAGGCAGCTCCTTAAAGGGCCCGCGCACGGACTTATCAGACTCTCTCCCTCTAAGCTTGGAGGGGAGGCAGCTCGAGGGGCACCAGAGACATACAGGGAAGAACTGAGCTGTTTGGCACTGGAGCGAGCGCTGGAGAGGGGGCTTCCTCGGGGACAAACGTGCTGTCAGAGGCCTTTGTTCCTTTGGTGAGCCCTTCCCTGGGGCGGCAGACAGAAGCCATATCTGGGACTCCAGCAACCTGGCTCACTCTAGTAGCCCCGCCCTGCTGACTCCCTGAGGTCTCGCCCCACCCAACTTTCAGGCCCACCCAAGCTGTTGCCACTTGCTTGACCATAGGATTGGCCTGTCTTGGATCCTGCTTCAGGTTTTTCCTAAATTCTTTCAAACAAGCAGCATCTGGTCTCAGATAGCCCCATACCTCTCATTAAGTAATACACAGAAACAAACACAGAGAGACAGCCAAAATGAGGAGACAAAGAAACAGGTCCCAAATGAAAGAACAGAACAAAACCCCAAGAAAAGAACTAAGCGAAATGGAAATAAGCAACCTAACAGATGCTGAGTTCAAAATACTGCTTATAAGGATGCTCAATGAATTTAGTGAGAACCTCAGCAAACTTAGTGAGGGCCTCAAGAGCATAATAAAGAACCAGTCAGAAATGATGGATGCAGCCCTGGCCGGTTTGGCTCAGCGGTTAGAGTGTCGGCCTGCGGTCCTGAGAGACCCGGGTTCGGTTCCCGCTAAGGGCATGTACCTCGGATGCAGTTTGTCCCCGGCCCTGGTTGGTTGTGCGGGTGGCAGCCACTCGATGTGTTCCTTTCACATCAATGTTTCTCTCTCTCTCTCTCTCCCTCCCACTCTACCTGAACAAAAAAATGGAAAAATGTCCTCGGGTGAGGATAAAAAAAGAAATGATGGATGCACAGTCAGAAATGAAGGAGGCATTAACTGAAATAAAGAATAAATTACAGAGATTCAATAGTAGAGTAGGTAAAGCCAAGAAGCAAACCATCGATTTGGAATCTAAGGAAGCAAAAAACGCCCAATCAGAACAGCAAAAAGAAAAAAGAATCCAAAAATCAGGATAGTGTAAGGAACCTCTGGGACAACTTCAAGCATGCCAACATTCGCATCTTGGGGGTGCGAAGGAGAAGAGAGAGAACAAGAAATTGAAAACCTGTTTGAAACAATAATGGCAGAAAACTTTCCTAACTTGGTGACGGAAACAGACATACAAGTCCAGGAAGCACAGAAAGTCCCAAATAAGATGAACCCCAAGAGATCCACACCAAGACACATCATCATCAAAATGCAAAAGGTTCAAGACAGAGAGAATCTTAAAAGCAGCAAGAGAAAGGCAGCTAGTTACCTACAAGGGAGTTCCCATAAGGCTGTCAGCTGATTTCTCAAAAGAAACTTTGCAGGCCACAAGGGAGTGGCAAGAAATATTCAGAGTGATGAAAAGCAAGAACCTACAACCAAGATTACTCTATCCTGCAAAGCTGTCATTTTAGAATCGATGGCCATATGAAGAGTTTCCCAGACAAGAAAAAGCTAAAGGAGTTCATCACCACCAAACCATTATTATATGAAATGATGAAGGGTCTTTTTGAAGAAAAAGATAAAATATATGAACAAACAAAATGGCAATGAATACATATCTATCAACAGTGGCATCTACAAACAAAATGAACAGGTAGAACAGAAACATTCTCATAGATACAGAGAACATTTTGTTGGTTGCCAGATGGGAGGGGGGTTGGGGGAATGGATGAAAAAGGTGAAGGGATTAAGAAGTACAAATGGGTTGCTAGACTGACAAACTTCAAAGAGAAAGGGGTTGGGGGGGGGGAAATAAACCAAAGAACTTATATGCATAACCAATGGACACAGACAATAGTGTGGGAAAAGACGGGAGGGGGGCGGGAGTGGGGAGGAGGGAGTCAATGGGGGAAAAATGAGGAACATCTGTAATACATTCTACATTCAACAATAAAGATTTAAAAAACAAATACACATACTTATTTATATAGAGAAGTGTTTTGAGAACCAATGCTTATGCTCTAACCTGTGAGCCAAACCAGCGAGGGCTTTATTGATTTTTTAGAGAGAGGAAGGGAGAGAGAGATAGAAACATTGACATGAGAGAGAATCATCCATCAGCTGCCTCCTGTGCACCCCCTACTGGGGATCAAACTAGAAACCGGGGCATGTGCCCTGACTGGGAATTGAACTAGAACCTCTCAGTCCATGGGATGACGCTCAATACCCTGAGCCACACTGGCCAGGTTCAACCCTTTATTGTAAAATAGGCTTTGTGTTAATGTGATTTTGCTCAACTATAGGCTCCTGTAAGTGTTCTAAGCACATTAAGGTATGCTAGGCTAAGCTATGATATTTGGTAGACTAGGTATATTAAATGCATTTCAAATTATATTTTCAACTGATGATGGGTTTATCAGGATGTAACTACATTGTACTTGTGAACTTGGGACCTTATGATATTTATCTCTTATTCTGTATCATGGTCAAAGTTTTTTTTCAGTGCTTTGGAAGGATAACAACAGAATGCTTGGCGTAAAGAGAAGTATCAAACTCTGTAACTGTCCAGGTTTACCTCCAATTGTGAGTCTCCTCTCTGAGACTGTGTGAATCAGTGATAGAGATGATAATGTGTTTTCTTTTCCAGATCATGGAGGACACTCAGGCTATTAACTGGGAGGTTGAAGAGGAGGAGAAGACAGAGAGACCCAGTGACTCTTTGGGGTGTAGTTTGGAGCCCCTAGGGCGACTGCATATCTTCAGTAGTGCCCACGGACCAGAAAAAGGTCAGGGAGTATGGATGCTGAAGTAGTGGTATAGGCCTCTTATTTTTGTGGGGAGGTAGTTGGAGGGTTGTAAGAAACATGTATATGTTCAAGGAAATCTGAAAACAATTTTTACTGGGAACGGAAAAGAGGGAGGCTGATTGACTTGTTCCAGCCAAGTGCTCTGGACTCACTGGGGGTGATTTTACTATTACTTAAAAATGGTTAAAATACTATATTCTGTGTGTGTGTGTACATATATATGTATGTATTTTTTTTAATGTTTGTATTGGTTTTAGAGAAGAAGGGAGAGAGAGAGAAACATCGATGAGAGAGAACATCGCTTGGCCACCTCCTGCATGGCACCCCCTGGGGATCGGGCCCAAACCTGGGCATGTGCCCTGACCAGGAATTGAACCAGCAATCTCTTGGTGCATGGGTCGATGCTCAACCACTGAGCCACACCGGCTGGGCTGTATGTATTTTTTTAAAAATACATTATATTGGTGGTTTTTAAAGAGAGAGAGAGGAAGGGAGAGGGAGATAGAAACATCAATGTGAAAGAGAAACATCAATCAGCTGCCTCCTACACGCCCCCTACTGGGGATCGAGCCCACAATCCCAGCATGTACCCTGACCTCTCAGTCTATGGCAACGGTCGAACAACCCTTTCACAGGGGTCGCCTGAGACCATCGGAAAACACATATTTCCAATGGCGATTCATGATAGTAGCAAAATTACAGTTATGAAGTAGCAACAAAAATAATTTTATGGTTGGGGGTCACCACAAGATGAGGAACTGTGTTAAAGGGTCGCGGCATTAGGAAGGTTGAGAACCACATCTCTATGGGATGATGCTCAGTCCACTGAGTCACACCAGCCTGCCTATTCTATGTATATTTTATCACAATAGAAAAAAATCCAGTGTGGAGTGTTGACTGTGAATAATGCATTGCATATAGTCTTCAATATTTAAATGTCCTGGGGCCTTTATTTTCCTGTTGTGTGTGGGGACCTTGAATGAGTGGTCGGGTACTTAATCAGAAATTTTCCCAGTAGTCGGCCAGGAATGTGGCCTTGGAACTTATCTACTTCTCCAATTCTTAGATTTCCCACTCTACCTCGGGAAGAATGTGGTAGGCCGAATGCCTGATTGCTCTGTGGCCCTGCCCTTTCCATCCATCTCCAAACAACATGCAGTGATTGAAATCTTGGCCTGGGACAAGGCACCTGTCCTCTGGGATTGTGGAAGCCTCAATGGTACTCAAATCCTGAGGCCTCCTAAGTTCCTGAGCCCTGGGGTGAGTCATCGTCTGAGGGACCAGGAGTTGCTTGTCTTTGCTGACTTGCCCTGCCAGTACCATCGCCTGGATGTTTCCCTGCCCTTTGTTTCCCGGGGCCCCCTAACTGTAGAGGAGACACCCAAGGTACAGGGAGGAACTCAACCCTGGGGGATTCTGTTGGCTGAGGATTCAGAAGAGGAAGTAGGTAAGTGTGTGTATTGGGAGGGTGGGCGAGGAAACGGGGATGGTGAATGTAAAACTGTCGACTTACTCCTTTCTACTCTTGGCAGATCGTTTTTCTGAAAGGTGCGTGGTGAAAGAACCAAGGACCACGTCCTCCCCTTTGGCAACAGTTGTTCCGGAGAGGTTAGTGCTAAGGGCCAGACTCAGGAGTCTTCAGAAAGAGGAAGAACCTGGGATTGAAGGACCCATCTCTAAGAGAGATAATCATCATGAAAGTGAGGGATGGGGAACTACACATACTCTTTCACTAACTGAATTTTATGGAGCACCTTTGGTGTGCCAAGAGGAGAACTAATTGCTAGAGATAGAAAAAATACTACCTTTTGTCTGCCCTCAGGGAGCTCACAATTGAGTCAAATATCCCTTCCTGGGAAATAGATTCTGTAAACTCTTTCTTTTCTCTTCCTTTCATAGTGATGAAGAGGGGCCTTCTTCTGCCCCAGATGGTCCTGGGCCACCTTGTGCCTTCAACGTTGACAGTGACACAGATGAAGAAGAAAGTCAGCAACCAGCAGCAGGGGAGGCCTTCTCAGCCTCCACAAGAGAGGCAACTGCAGAGACAGAGCAAATTAAAGCTGTCACAACTGAAATTCATTTTGAAAAGGATCAGGTTTTGGAGCAGGAGAGAAACAGTGACACAGGACTTGAGAGGGATGCAAGTAATGGGGTGGTTCTGGAGAGGAGCCAGCCTTCTGGGGAAGACAGTGAGACAGATGTGGATGATGACAGCAGACCTCCAGGAAGGCCCACTGAGGTTCATCTGGAAAGGGCCCAGCCTTCTGGCTTCATTGACAGTGATACTGATGTGGAGGAAGAGGAGATCCCTGCAACCCCAGCTGTAGTTCCTGTGAAGAAGAGGCAAATCTTCCATAGAGTTAGTACAGGGAGTCCTGGGGGACCTGACCTGGCATATCTTGGTGAGAGCCCGACTGGTAGTGACACAGATGTGGAGGAGGCTGAGGCCCCACTCCTGGTCTCTCTGGGGCACAGCCAAGTCTCCATGGTGATCGACAGCAATACAGATGACGAGGAAGAAGTGTCAGCAGCGCTCACTTTGGCGCGTCTGAAGGAGAGCGGAGCCGCCACATGGAACAGAGGTACAGATGTAGGAGAGGACAGAGCCCAACCTCCGGCTTCTCTTGAGCGAAACCATACCTCTGCTGGGAGAGACAGTGACACAGACATGGAGGAGGAGGGGTTCCCAGTGGAAAAAAGAAACTATGTCCCCAAAGGTCACACAGACAAAGCTGATTCAGAAAAGAGCCAGCCTCCTTTCAGAGACAGTGATATAGAAGTGGAAGAAGATAAGAGTTCACCTAGAGTCCACCTGGAGAGAAGTCAAGCCTCTGCCACAGCAGGTATCACCACACAGGTGGAAGAGGAAGTCCCCTCAGGGCCAGCTGTTACTCTCTCAGAGAAGCATCAGGAGCCTGTGACACAGACAAAGCCAACAAATGTGGAAGCAGAAGGGGGCCCAGCAAAGCTACCCGCAGTGCATCTTGAGAAAGCCCAACCTCCTCCAGGTGGGGACTGGGAAACAGATGCTATTAAAGAGGGTGTGTCCTTAACAACCTCAGCAGTGGCACATGTGAGAAAGACCCAGCTTCAAGCATAAGGGGATGCTGGGACAGAGTGGGTTGTTCCTGTTCCTGAGCAGGAGAGAGCTCTTGAAATGGTGGTTCAGGGTGGGTAGCACAAGTGGAGCAGGACCATTTCCTTGTCTCAAGGGAGAACCTAACAGATCTCTTGGTAGACAGGTACTGCAGGGGAACCCACCCAACCACCAAGAAATGGAGCCCAGCCCCCCAGAGAAAGTGGGAGAGAACCACATGTGGACATGACCAAGGACTCTGGACACAACCATGATGGTAAGTGCTGACCTGACCTTCTCCCTTGATCCCTAGAATAAAGAAAGCTCATAGAGTGACTTAATCCATTTAGGTTGCTATAACGGAAAACTACAGAGCAGATGGCTTGTAAACGATACACATTTATTTCTTGTAGTTCTAAAGGCTGGAAAGTCTAAGGTCAAGGCACCAGCAGATTCAATGTATGGCAAGGGCTTGCTTCCTTGTTCATAGGTGGCCTGCTTCTCACAATGTCCTTAACTGGCAAAAGGGCACTAGGGCACGCTGTGGGGGTCTCTTTTATAAAAAAGGGCACTAATCCCATTCATGAGAGTGCTACCCTAAGGACCTAATCATTTCCCAAGGCCCCTACCTTCTAATACCATCACATTGGGGTATTAGAATAAAAATGTGGGTAGACCCTTTCCAAAAGCAGCCAGAGGTGACTTCTGAAAATGGCTCGCTATTCACTTGACCCAGAAAACCCCACAAAATCATGCAAATCAGGAGGTTCAAATCATCGTGCTCACTTTAAGAACACTCGTGGAATTGCCCAGGCCATTCAAGAGTATGCATATTTGAAAAGCCACCAAGTATCTGAAGGATGTCACTTTACAGAAGCAGTGTGTGCCATTCCATCGGTACAATGGTGGAGTTGGTAGGTGTGCCCAGGCCAAACAGTGGGGCTGAACACAGGGTTTGTGGCCCAAAAAGAGTGCTTAGTTTTTGCTGCACGTGCTTAAAGTTTAGATGTCGACTCTGGTCTGCGAGCACAGCCAAGTGAACAAAGCCCCTGCAATGTGATGTGGGGGGGGGGGTGCTCAGGGCTCCGGGGCAGCCCGCACAGGAGCTCTCCCCGCCCCTGAGAGGGCCCTGCTGGGAAAGCAGACTGCTTTTGAATCACAAAAGTAAAGGGTGTCGCAGAAGAAAGTGAAGAAATAAAAATTTATGGCCTAGGAGTATATTCAGCTTAAAACAAATACTAATATAAGTTTATTTTATTTATTTTATTTTTTAAATGTGTTTTTATTGATTCTGGGAGGAGAGAGAGAGAGAAACATTGATGTGAGAAAAACATCCATCAGCTGCCTCCTGTATGCCCCTTACTGGGGATCGAGCCCACAACCTGGGCATGTGCCCTGACTTGGGCATCAAACCGGAACCTCTCAGTCCATGGGACAATGCTCAATCCATTGAGCCACCCTGGCTGGGCCTAATTAAAGTTTAAAAAAGAATGTGGGGTGGGACCCAAACATTCAGTCCATTGCATAGGGGTTTTGGTTGGGGAGAGAATAGTAGAGAAAAAGTAAGCCATTATGTGTCAGATAGGATTTTTTTATTATCCTGTATTTCTCCCCCATCAGATTCTGAAGATCTAGACCTACAAGCTACCCAGTGCTTTGTGGAGAGAGAGAATCAGAGCCTGAAAGGTGAGGACATCTGTGTTGTAGGGATGCTGTACACAGCAGGAGCTCGGAGATTATACTGGTGGTCCTTGAAAATTGAAAGCTTGCCCTGGCCGGTTTGGCTCAGCGGTTGGAGCATCGGCCTGCGGTCCAGAGAGACCCGAGTTCGGTTCCCACTAAGGGCACGTACCTCGGTTGCAGTTTGTCCCCGGCCCTGGTTGGTCGTGCAGGTGGCAGCCACTCGATGTGTCCCTTCACATCGATGTTTCTCTCTCTCTCTCCCTCCCGCTCTATCTGAACAAAAAATGGAAAAAATGTCCTCGGGTGAGGATAAAAAAACAAAAAAGAAAATTGAAAGCTGGCATAGGCAGGGCAGGAGACAGGTGGGCCCTGGAGTTCTGTGGAGGAACTGTGCTGAAGCCATCTTTTCCTGTGCAGCAGTCCAGAGCATGCAGGATGAGCCCGCCCAGGCCTTCCTGTGCACTTGCCCCCAAGAGCCTGGCCCTTCCCCTTGCAGCTTCCAGGGGAAGAGAAACTCCCCTTCTCTGTGCCCCTACCTTTGCATCCTGTTTTCTCCCTCTACACATTTCTTTCATATTATTTTATTATTTTGCTGATGTTTTCCATCTTATTAGGGAAAAATCATTTAGACCCACAGAGCAACTTGTCTAGCATAATTTTTACACTTGATCTTAGCCAAAAGGCTGAGAAGTGTTCTCTAGCATGATTTTTAAGAGGATGGCATGAGAGCTTTTATATGAAGGTATGGCCTTACTTTTTGAGACATACATTAAAGGTTACGACTGTCCTCCTTACTCCTAGCTTTTCTTTCTTTTCTTTTTTTTTAAATTTTTTTTCCTTTATTGATTTTGGAGAGACAAGAAGGGAGAGGGAGAGAGAGATAGAAACATCGATGAGAGAGAACATCGTTTGGCTGCCTCCTGCATGCCCCCCACTGGGGACTGGACCCACAACCTGAGCATGTGCCCTGACCAGGAGTCGAACCAGCGACCTCTTGGTGTGTGGGTCGGCGCTCAGTCACTGAGCCACACCAGCCAGGCCTAGCTTTTCTTTAATAACCCATATAGATTTATTGCTCATGAATTTATCTTAATTCTTTTTCAACCTGTTACCTTCTCAGCCAACCTTCCTCCCTCCCTCTCTTTCTCTCTCTCTCTCCCTCCCTCCCTCCCTCTCTGACTCTGTACTTCCAGGTGCCCTGGATGAGCCATGGGAGGTCTTGGCTACACAGCCATTCTGTCTAAGAGAGTCTGAGGCCTCTGAGACCCAGCCCATTGCTGCCCACCTTGAGACCCATGGATCGTGCCCCTTTTCACCTAGGGCAACACCTCGGGACCAACATCCAGAAAGCCCAGTTGACGCAGAGCCATTGGGTATTCAAGGCAGAGGGCTGCAGACTGCGGAGAAAGGCATGGGTACACCAGAGAAGCAGCAGAGAGGGTGACCCCAGAGAGGGAAACTAAAAACTGCCACCGGAATGATTGAGAGAAGATGTGATGGGAGAGGAAGAATTAACCAGGGTGATGAAGGACGGGAAACAAAAGCAGGTGTTAGCTAGAGACAAGAGTCTGATAAAACTGAGAAGTGCAAGTGTGGAAAGGGATGTAGAAGATTTAAAGGTAGAAATTGAGATGTCGAAGGAACTGCAAGAGGTATTAAAGCAGACTCTTGCAAGAGACATATTTGAGAGAGAAACTAGCCCCAGAGAGAGAATGTGAGCCAGCATACCCCAGCTAATATTGGAGGAAGGCGCACAGATGGGGACAGAGAGGGCAGGCCTCCAGTCCAACATGAGCCCGAGGAGGGGCAGGAGACCTTGTGGGACTAGCTTTAGCCCTGATAGCTTCTGGGAGCCAGTCAGGTAGAGGGAGGTGGGTCCCAGGAGGCAGCAGAGGTAAGTGAAGGCAGAGGGGGATGGACCCAAGGTGTTATATAGCCCTCATGATAATCATCCCCAAAGTAACTACCTGCTTGGACCTTAGCCACACTTGTCTTTACTTTCTGTCTAGGCCACTTGAATTGCAAGATGCCACCTGCTGAGAAGGCTTCTAGGGTGAGAGCTGCTTCTCTGCCCCCTGCACTGCCTCTTGCCAGACCTTGCTTTCATCTGCCCTTGCCTACCTTCACCGTTGCCCGTTCACCACTCATTAGTTGGCTTCTGGCCCTTTACCTTGGCAACGGTTGTTTTCCATCTCTCTGTTTCCCGGCTCCTATTCCCTCTACCTGACTCAGAAAGAACATCCCTCTCTTCATGTCCCTTACTTTCCCCAACCATCCATCACCCATATCCTGACAACACTGTACTGGCCTTAGGGGGAGTGGTCTGTAGGAAAGAAGACTACTCCCTCCTGGGAAGTTCCCAGTCTGATGGAAGATGGTCAGAGACAGACAGAAATGCCAGTGAGCATACTCTCGTTATAACAAGGATCAAGAACAGTGTCTAGTCCTCTCTCTCTTCTCTCTGCTTTTTCCTTTTTCACTTGCTTCTGTTTCTCCCCAGGGTGATCCAGAACCTCTAGATGCTTGCCTGCCTCCAGCAGTACCTGAAGGCTCAGTCCCTATCCAAAACCCCCTCATCTCTCAGAGCCAAGAGCATCCTGCTCCCCAGCCCCTCCTTGTTCCCTCTCTAGCTTTAGAGCCACCCATTCCCAGAACCAGGCAAAACAGGAGTCAGGAAGCTCTGGAGAATCCCTTGTCCTCAGAGCTGGACCCTCTTCATCCAAAACCCCGAGTCAGGCCCCGGGGGTGCTCCAGGATGATGCCCTCTCCAGTTTCTTCTATAGCCCTGGAGCCCTACCCTACCACCCCCACAAACCACCCTGTCACCCCTGAGCCCACACCTCGGGCCACTCGGGGCAGGACACATAGGGCCTCGGTCAAGACCCCTGAACCAACTGTCCCCACAGTCCCTGAGCTCCAGCCTCCCACCTGCAAAGACCAGCCTGTCACCCCTGAGCCCACACCTCGGGCCACTCGGGGCAGGACACATCGGGCCTCGGTCAAGACCCCTGAACCAACTGTCCCCACAGTCCCTGAGCTCCAGCCTCCTACCTGCAAAGACCAGCCTGTCACCCCTGAGCCCACATCTCGGGCCACTCGGGGCCGGACACATAGGGCCTCGGTCAAGACCCCTGAACCAACTGTCCCCACAGTCCCTGAGCTCCAGCCTCCCACCTGCAAAGACCAGCCTGTCACCCCTGAGCCCACATCTCGGGCCACTCGGGGCAGGACACATAGGGCCTCGGTCAAGACCCCTGAACCAACTGTCTCCACAGTCCCTGAGCTCCAGCCTCCCACCTCCAAAGACCAGCCTGTCACCGACAAGGCCATAACTCAGAGTGGTCGGAACAGGACACTGAGGTCTACAAGAAGTGCTGTGCCTGTTCGTACCACCCCTGAATTCCAGTCTCCTGTCCCCATAGACCAGTCTGTTTCCCCTGAGCCCATCCCTCAAGCCAAATGTAGCAGGAAGTCAAGGGTCACTAGGAAGCATGGGTCCCTCGCAGCTCCCATTGTCTGTGAACCCTGCTCTGCACCCCTTGAACCTAACTCCTGGTCCTCAAGGAGCCAAAGGCGAGGAGCAGTGAGAGCAGCCGAGTCCCTTAGGACCATTCCCGAGTCTGCCGTTGCCCAGCTTCCTGAGGCCCCCATACATGCTCCTCAGATCCAAGAGGTGGAGGCAGCAGGTAGATATGAGTTCACCCCAGAGTCCCAGCCTAAGACCTTTCAAACCCGCAAGAGGTCTTCAGGTACTGTGGTTTCACCCCCACTTCAAAAACGGCTGCAAAGAGAAGTCCCGCAGGAGACTGTGTTCCTCAAGGAAGAAGAAGACCTCACAGAGAAGCCAGGGAAGGAAGAGGTGAGGAGAGGGCTGGGACCAAAGAGCTGGGAAAGGGTTTGGGGCTCAGACTCCCACCAGGCCCCTTCTCAACCCTAGGAGGTAGCGATGCCAGGACCGCGCGCAAGAAAGAAAGGCCAGGCTGAGGACGAGCCCAAAGGGATGCCAGGCCGCAGCCTCCGTCGGACCAAACCTGCCCATGAGTCCATCACCCCCAAAGTAGGAGGGAGGGGCCTGAGGTTTTGTGGGAGCAGATGGGGGCGATCTGGGACATCTGGGAGAAAGTCACTGGTGCATGGATTGCTGTGACCAACTTAGGTCCATCCCCTCCACAGGTGCTCTTCACAGGAGTGGTGGATGCCCATGGAGAACAGGCTGTGCTGGCTCTGGGGGGAAGTCTGGCCAGCTCGGTGGCAGAGGCATCCCACCTGGTGACTGATCGAATCTGCCGGACAGTCAAATTCCTGTGTGCCCTGGGGCGGGGGATCCCTATCCTCTCCCTGGACTGGCTGTACCAGGTAAGAGGCCAGGAGATGATGACACCAATAGAGAAAGTGACCATAGAAGACTGCTCACATAGCACTCTAGAAAGTGATGGGAGGAGTCTGGCCAGTGTGGCTCACTGGTTGCGCATCAACCCATGCACCAAGAGGTCACTGGTTTAATTCCCGGTCAGGACATATGCTCAGGTTGTGGGCCAAATCCCCAGTTGGAGGCATGCAGGAGGCAGCCAAGCAATGTTCTCTCTCATCAATTTTTTCATCTCTCTCTCACTTCTTCTCTCTCTAAAATCAATAAAGGGAAAAGAAATTGATGGGAGGAGAGGGGGGGATGCAGGAAGACAAGGGTGAATGAGACAGAAAGTTTCATTCAAAAACGCTTTATGAGCTCCCTGTGAGTGCTAGGCAGCACAGCTGGGTGACGGGCGGGCCTGCGCTTTGATACTGACTGCTACCACCCTTAGTCCCGCAAGGCCGGTTACTTCTTGCCCCCGGATGAATATGTGGTGACTGATCCTGAGCAGGAAAAGAACTTTGGTTTCAGCCTCCGCGACTCCCTGAGCCGGGCTCGTGAGCGAAGGCTGCTAGAGGTGAGACTGTCTTCCTTTCCATGCTCCATCCCCTCTCCAGACGCTTCCCAGCAGTGCATGGCCTCTCCGTGCAGGTCTCCACTCTCTCCACCGTTTTCTCTGTCTCAGGGCTATGAGATTCATGTGACTCCTGGAGTCCAGCCACCTCCACCTCAGATGGGAGAGATCATCAGCTGCTGTGGGGGCACTGTCCTACCCAGCATGCCCCGGTCCTACAAGGTATGGGGGAGTGTGTCTGGATCTAGGGAAGTGCAGATGGGAACACAGTATTGAGAGGGTAGGAGACGACCTATGAGACAGAAAGGGACAGGAATGAGGGAGGAACTCTGCTGATACCAGTTAAACTTAGTTTTGTTTTGTTTTAAATATGGTTTTGTTTTTGGAGAAAGAAAGGAAAGGAGGGGGAGAGAGAGAGAGAAACATCAATGTGACAGAGAACCACTGATCTGCTGCCTCCCGCATTCCCCCTACTGGGGATCCAGCTCACAACCCAGGCATGTGCCCTGACCGGGAATCGAACCGGGACCTCTCAGTCCATGGGACGATGCTCAATCCACTGAGCCACACCAGCCAGGCCACAATGCCATTATTGATCCATAACGAAGTTAACAATAATTTCTCAGTCATTTTCTTATATTCCACTAATCCAATTTCTCCATTTATCTGAACATGTCTTTTTATAGTTCAATTCAGAATTCTAACCAGGTCTGTGTCTTGCCACACTGTTTCATCTCTTAATTCTCTTAACTCCAGAGCAGCGATTTTCAACCTTTTTCATCTCATGGCACACACAAACTAAGTGCTAAAACTCTGTGGCACACCAAAAAATGTATATTTTGCCTACCTGACAAAAAAATAGGTATAATTTTGATTGATTTACAGAAAATAATAGTAACTACCTACCCTTTTTGCTCCAAAATGACTTTTTTGTTTAAATAAATGGTCTACCTTTTTTTTTTTATTAATTTTTGTTACAGGTGTAGAGTGGCTTTTTTTTTTTTTTATCCTCACCCAAGAACATTTTTCCATTTTTTGTTCAGATAGAGTGGGAGGGAGAGAGAGAAACATCCACGTAAAAGGGACACATCGAGTGGTTGCCACCCACACGACCCAACCAGGGCCGGCGACAAACTGCAACCTAGGTACGTGCCCTTAGCGGAAACCGAACCCTGGTCTCTCTGGACCACAGGCCAACGCTCTATCGCTGAGCCAAACTGGCCAGGGCTAGAGTGACTTCTTAAAAAATCAGGTGCCTATACTTGTATACAAGATTTCTGGTATCAAGAATTAACCAATCAGACACAAACTTATTGTGTGACATGACCAGTAAGATGCAACTCGAGCCCAGCTAATGTGGTTCAGTGGTTGAGTGTCGACCCATGCACCAAGAGGTTACTGGTTCAATTCCCAATCAGGGCATATGCCCAGGTTGTGGGCCCGATCCCCAGCTCTGGTCAGGGTCATTTGAGAAGCAATCAATCGATGTGTCTTTCTCACATCAGTGTTTCTCTTCTTCCCTCCCTTCCACTCCAGCTAAACACCTATGGGAAAATATCCTCAGGTGAGGATTAACAACAAAAAAAAGACAGGGCATTCACCCTGGGTGACTATTGTTGTGTTGGCTGTTGTTTTTTTTCTTGGTGCTTTTTAAATTTTTTTTCTTTATCGATTTTAGAGAGAGGGGAAGGGAGAGAGAGAGAGAGAGAGAGGGAAACATTGATGAGAGCCCTGGCCAGTTTGGCTCAGTGGTTAAGAGCATCAGCCCATGGACCAGAGAGACACGGGTTCAGTTCCTGCTAAGGGCATGTAGCTTGGATGCAGTTTGTCCTTGGCCCCAGTTGGGGTTGTGTGGGTGGCAACCAGTCGATGTGTCTCTCTCACATTGATGTTTCTCTCTCTCTTCCGCCCTCCCTCCTTCCCCTTCTATCTGAAGATAAATGCAAAAATGTGCTCGGGTAAGGATTAAAAAAAGAAAAAGAAACATTGATGAGAGAGAACATCAGTTGGCCGACTCCTGCATGCCCCCCACTGGGGATTTGGGCCATAATGTGGGCATGCATGTGCCTTGACTGGGAATCAAACCAGCGACCTCTTGGTGCATGGGTCGATGCTTAACCACTGAACCACACTGGCCGGGCCTATTGTCATTTTTTTTTATTTGACAATCTAAGGGGAAGGAGCTCAGTGCCCCTGACTCAACTGTCAGATATTGCATGGTTTGAAAATTCTTGTGGCACCCCAATTGAAAATCACTCCAGAGCATCCCCTAACCCACCCAGCCTTTTGTGTGCCATTGACTTCCTGCAGAAACTAGGTCAGTTGTCCTTTAGAATGGTCCTCAGTCTGGATTTTTCTGTTTGCTCCTTGGTTGTGTCACTTACCTTATTCTTCTGTTGTCTATATTTCCTGTAAATTATAATTCATTTTAAAAGCTTGAATAAATTCAGGTTCAACTTTTCTGGTAAGAGCACTTCACAGACAATGCAGGTGCTTCCTGGGGCTCACAGCCAGAGCTACTGTGAGCGATGCCTGGACTGGCCAGTGGGTCCTGCCCTATCTCTAGGGTTCTTTCCCTGACTTCCTGTCTTTGCTGTCTGTCTTCCCCAGCCTCAGAGAGTTGTGATCACGTGCTCCCAGGACATCCCTCGATGCACCACACCATTTCGAATCGGGCTGCCCGTCCTCTCTCCTGAGTTCCTGCTGACCGGAGTGCTGAAGCAGGAAGCCAAGCCAGAGAACTTTGTTCTCTCCACTTTGGAAATGTCGTCCACCTGAAAACCCCACCCCGTGCCCTTTTCCCTCCCAGACCAATAAATAGTTAGAAAGTGTTTGGGAGAAAGAACTTAGGGCTTTAGAAAAGATTTGGATATACTGATCTGATTTGTCTTGAAACATTGGTGGAGCTGAAAAGGTTTCTGGGAAAACAAAGATAGGGAGATTGGGGGCCACAGATTTTCTTAATTGGCCATTTAAAGTTGGTTAATCTCATGCTCAGATACCTTAAGTGGCTCTCATCTTTAGGCAGACTGATGTTCCTACTGCTCCATGTCTGCCTCCCATTTGGAAGCCATCTCTTTTTCTTTCTTACTGGGATTCTTATTCTCCCAAACATAGTAAAACAATTTTAATGTCAGAAACTTGAAGGATGCTTGGAGTGAGTAAATTTGAGGTTGGGGTTATGGAATACTATAAAAACATTTTCCTCTCTCCTGCCCCATCTTGTCAGAAGTATCCTTTAGCTTGGACTTGGGGCAAGTTCCTGCACTTTTTCAGGCCTTGTTTTCCAGTATTTATAAAATTAGAGCTTAGGCGTAACCTCCATGACAAATGAATATTCACTCTGTGCCTTATGGTGTGGTGCAGTTTTCTGTTTTGGTTTTTTATCCTCACCCAAGGATACGTTTTTCTGTTGATTTTAGAGAGAGAGGAAGGGGGTCAGGGGGGAAAGAAACATCCATGTGAGAAACATTGATCCGGTTGCCCCCCATATGCACCCCAAGCAGGGATCAAACCTGCACTTTTTGTTGTACAGGATGACACTCCAGCCAGCTGAGCCACCTGGCCAGGGCAGTGAAGTTTTGGGGTTTTTTATATGACATTTCTTAAATTTAAGTTTTAAAGTTTGGTTGATTCCAAGGATATGGAGAAATTGGAACCCTTAATCATTGCTGGTAGGAAGGTAGATGGTTCAGCCACTGCGAAAAAATTTGATGGTTCTCACCAGTTTGGTTCAGCAGTTAGCACGTTGGCCCTTGGACTGAAGGGTCACAGGTTTGATTCCCAGTCAAGGGCACATACCTGGATTGCAGGTTCAATCCCCGGCCCCAGTTGGGGTCATGCAGGAGGCAACCAATCGATGTGTCTCTCTCACATGGATGTTTCTCTCCCTCCCTTTCACTCTATCTAAAAATCAATGGAAAAATGTCCTCAGGTGAGGATTAACAAACAAAAAAAGTTAAACAGATGTTTACAAATACTTGTACACAAATGTTCACATAGACACTTTTCACAAGAGCCAAAAGATAGAAACATAAATGTTTTAAATTGTGGCATACCAATACAATGGATTATTATTTGGCCATGAAAAGGGATGAAATACTGATTTATGCTACAGTGCTTGAACCTTAAGAGCATTATGCTAAGTGAAAGAAGTCAGACACAAGATCACATTGTCTGACTCCACTTAAAAATATGCAGAACAGGTAAATCCATAGAGATAACAGCAGGTTAGTATTGGCAGGGGCTGGGGGAGGGAAGGTGGAGAGAAATGCTGATGGGATGGTTTCATTCAGGGTCATGAGCATGCTTTGGAACTAGACAGAGGTGGGGGTTGCACACATTACAAATGTACTAAACGCCGCTGGACTGTTCTCAGTACAGTGGTTGGTTTTCTGTTATGTGAATTTCACTTCAATTAAAAAAAATTGTTGACTAGTCTTGTACATTTTTTTGCAGGTAAGTTATACATAAGTTTGGGAAACTGCTGTAGTAGAAATAGCATGAGCTTTGCCAAACACTGCTGTCTTTTAAATATACCTAACCTCGCCCTGGCTGGTTTGGCTCAGCGGTTAGAGCATCAGCCTGCGGTCCCGAGAGACCCGGGTTCGGTTCCTGCTAAGGGCATGTACCTTGGTTGCAGTTTGTCCCCAGCCCTGGTTGGTCGTGTGGGTGGCAGCCACTCGATGTGTCCCTTTCACATTGATGTTTCTCTCTCTCTCTCTCTCTCTCTCTCTCTCTCCCTCCCTCCCTCCCTCCCTCCCACTCTACCTGAACAAAAAATGTCCTCGGGTGAGGATTAAAAAAATAATAATAAAAAAATAAATAAATACTGTATACCTAACCTTGCCCTGGCCAGTTAGCTCAGTGGTTAGAGTGTCGGTCCACTGACCAGAGAGACCAGGGTTTGGTTCCCACTAAGGGCACGTACCTCAGTTGCAATTTGTCCCCTGCCCTGGTTGGGGTTGTGTGGGTGGCAGCCACTTGATGTGTCTCTGTCACCTCGATGTTCGTCGTCCCCCCCCATCTGAAGATAAATGCAAAAATGACCTCGGGTGAAGATAAAAATAATAAATATACCTAATCTCTTTTTTCTTTATTGTTTAGAAAGAGAGGAAGGGAGAGGGAGAGAGAGATAGAAACATAGATGAGAGAGAACATCGATTGGCCGCCTCCTGCATGCCCCTCACTGGGGATTTGGCCCACCAGGAGTCAAACCTGCAACCTCTTGGTGCATGAGTCGATGCTCAACCAATGAACCGCACTGGTCGGGTATACCTAATCTCTCTTGTTTTTGTTACAGATGTTTCTTCTTTTTTCCCCCATTGATGCCCTCCTCCCAGTCCCCCCTGCCCCCACTCTCTTAATATAGTTTAGTAAGCACAGCCATTGTGGGTGTGGTACATGGTAGGACCCAAACAAATGTTAGTCCCATTGCATAACTCAAAGCCTCATACTGTGTGAAACTGCCCATGTTCCTGAGGTTCTGGAAGCCCTTAGTGTTGTAAGGTGTCAGCAAGATAACCAGAGACGCACAGCTGAATTGTAAAGGGGCACTCCATTCACCGGCGGGTTGGGGGATCTCCCCAAATCCTCAGCCTGAGCCTTCTTTGTTACCGCTTTTTTTTTTTTTTTTTTTTTATCCTCATCCGAGGACATTTTTCCATTTTTTACTCAGATAGAGCGGGAAGGAGAGAGAGGAAGAGAGAGAAACATCGATGTGAAAGGGACACATCGAGTGGCCGCCACCCACACGACCCAACCAGGGCGGGGGGGGGGGGGGGGGGGGGGGGACTGCAGCCAAGGTACGTGCCCTTAGGGGGAACCAAACCCGGGTCTCTGTGGACCGCAGGCCGACACTCTAACCGCTGAGCCAAACCGGCCAGGGCTGTTACCCGCTTTTAAAGGCACAAACTACAGAAAAAAAACTACATTCTCTTGGCACCACTTTTGGCACCGTTAAGGGGGCTGATACAGAGAAGGGGAGAGGAGCTTGTTAGGTCAGGGCAGCTATTAATCTCTCTTCCTCATGGTTCCTGAGCCTCCCAAGGCCATCCTTAACCCCTTATCTTTATAGTCTTCTTTGGGTTTCTCAAGGCCTTGTGTTTACAGCAAGGGCCTGCCAGGGTGCGCGTGCAGGAACCGAGGGTCGGAATGGAGTTATTGCAACAGTACCTGCTGTCTCTCTAGCCCCATTTAGCATCCCCACTTCATGATTTATCATTTAAGTGCCTCAATTTAAACCTCTAGAGAATAGGGTTTTTTTCTTAAACTTCTAGTGAATCCCACAGCTTGTAGCACATCAGTCAGGGTTCTGACAGGAAATGGCACAGGTTGGGATAATTTGGGGAGAGTTTAACAAAGTGATAGATAATTACAAAGAAGTAGGCAGAGGTTAGAGAACTCAGAATACTGCAGTACCCCAGTACCCACAAATCTGTGATCACCACTTCTAAGCCCAAAGGATGAGAGGAGGGAGCAGTTGTATAGAGTTCCCTCCATAAAAGCTGGTTTGCATTGATGTAGTCCATTCAGGACAAATTCCAGAAGCAGAAAGGGTAGACGGTGAATCTGGAAGGAAAACAAGATGTCTAGTACAGTACACAGTGGAACCTCAGTTCTCTAACTTAATTGTTTCTGGAAGGCTGTTCGAGAAGTGATTTGTTCAAAAAATGAATCCTTTACTCAATTAGAAATCATGTAAATTGCCCAGGCTCAGCGGTTGGAGCGCTGGCCCTTGGACCAAAGTTTTGGATTTGATTCTGGTCAAGGGCACGAACTTCAGTTGCAGTTCAGTCCCTGGACCTGGTCAGGGTTGTACTGGAGGCAACCAACAGATGTGTCTCTCTCACATCCATGTCTTTCTCTCCCCCTCTCCCCCTCTCCCTCTCTCTCCCTCCCTCTCTCTCCCTCTCCCTCTCTCTCCCTCTCTCCCTCTCCATCTCCATCTCTCTCCCTCCCTCTCGCCGTCTCCCTCTCTCCCCCTCTCCCTCTCTCTCTCTCCTCCGGACCGCAAGCCGATGCTCTAACCGCTGAGCCAAACCGGCCAGGGCCCTCTCTCTCTCTGTCTCTCTCCCTCTCTCTCCCTCTCCATCTCTCTCCCTCCCTCTCGCCCTCTCCCTCTCTGTCTCTCTCTCTCCCTCTCTCTCTCTCCCCCCTCTCTCTCTCCCTCTCCCTCTCTCTCTCTGTCTCTCTCCCTCTCTCTCCCTCTCCATCTCTCTCCCTCCCTCTCTCCCTCTCTCTCTCTGTCTCTCTCTCTCCCTCTCTCTCTCTCCGCTCTCCCCCCTCCCTCTCTCTGTCTCTCTCTCCCTCTCCATCTCTCTCCCTCCCTCTCTCCCTCCCTCTCGCCCTCTGCCTCTCTGTCTCTCTCCCCCCTCTCTCCCTCTCCCTCTCTCTCTCTGTCTCTCTCTCTCCCTCTCTCCCTCTCCCTCTCTCTCTCTCTGTCTCTCTCTCTCTCTCTCCCTCTCCATCTCTCTCCCTCCCTCTCGCCCTCTCCCTCTCTGTCTCTCTCTCTCCCTCTCTCTCTCTCTCCCTCTCCCTCTCTCTCTATCTGTCTCTGTCTCTCCCTCCCTCTCTCTCTTACCCTCCCTGCCTCCCTCCCACTCTATCTGAAGATAAATGGAAAAATATCCTCGGGTGAGGATTAAAAATAATAATAATAATAATGTAAATTGAATTAATCTGTTCCAGACCCCCAAATGATTCCATTTTAACCTAATGTACTGTTTAATCTATAAATAAAACACTTTAAAAACAAAAAGGAAATGAAATGTACAGTAAAAAATGGAAATTTACACACACACCAGAATTTACCATTAATGTTGAGAGCTACTGATGACTGAATTTGGGGAGGAGGGACTGAGGGATGTCATTGTTTGCAAGGAGAGTCCCCTTCCATAAAAATGTCAGGTAGGACCGGGCTTGGGGGACGCGCCCAGGTTGCGCACCGCAGGGTTCTGACCAGCTACCTGGAGTACTGCGCCCGCAGGCCGGGCTCCGTCGCACAGCCCGTCCACCCGCGGGGCCCTGCTGCGCTCCGTGGCCGCCCGTTCCGGTCCCGCAGCGTTACCAGCTCCTCCGGTCCCGCTACCGCGGATATCGGGGAACCGCGTCGAGCGGGTGGCGCGACGGCGCAGGAGGTACTTCCAGACCGCGGAGCCCCCACCTGGGGACTCACGGTGGCGCTGGTGACTTTCACGGGGATCCTGCTGGAGGGACCGCCGGCAGGCCACACGTGGGAACTGAAGGAATGAGATGACACGTTGACCGCGACTGCCAGAGCTTGGTGACCTTGCTGTGCGATTGGCTCATGGCCGCACCGCTTCTGGCTGGAGGTGGACGAGGCTGGGGTGGCTTTTGTGATACCTTAACACCAGCAGTGGGATCTTGGAGCAGAATGCTGGTTCCGGTTCTTCTGTCATGCTTGATGGCAACAATCTTAACCTATTTGTGGACAAAATTATTGTGAGTTGCAAACTTTTTAACCCATTTCTACCTGCCTGACTTCAACCAACCAAGTGAATTTGAGATGTGAAAGAACAGGATAGAGTAAAGCACCTTCTGAGACATGTTTCCCTGCATCCCTCTAAGGAGTCCTGTGGTGGTGATTCAGCCAGTGTGTTAACTCCGGACAAATACTCAAAGGGGTTAAGACAAAGGCCACTGAGTGGCTCTTCTATGCCTGGGGACAAATAGGAATCTAAAGGCTAATTGCTCCAAAGAATTGTCAAAGACACTGCATTTCATTAGATGGCAAACCTGGTGCTATTTGCTACATTTAGATAAATATGAATATGAGTCTCTCATCTATCTACAA